ATTGCTGAGCCAGTTTTATGAAAGCAGTGAAATGAATGCAGAAACTAAACCCAGGGACTGCCTGATAATGCTCTAAGCCAAAAGCAAACGAGAAAAAAGAGCAGGCATTGCTGCAGACCTCAAATGGAAGGGAACAGGACTCACCTGAAGCCTGCAGGCAAGGCAGGCAGACACGGCGCCGGAGATAAACGGTCAAACATGAAGCTCTTTCTTCCAAACTGAAATTCAGGGAATTGTCAACAAGTCCCCATCCACACAGAACGAGTGATGATGAGGGGCCTGAGGATAATCCTCGGAGCAGCGCTGGTCTCCGTGAGCCTTCCCTGGGCCTGCTGTGCCTCGCTGCTCCAGAGAGCTGGAGCGCAGTATCACCCCACAGTGAATGCAGCCAGCTGGTTTTGTATTCAACCAGTTCAGCAGTTTCTTGTCAGCTGCCTCAGGGATATTTCAGTCAGATGAACTCTTACCTGCAGGCCCATAAAAAAAAAGAGTTAACAAGGGGCTATGAGGTGCTACAGCAAAGGTGATGAGGTGCCTTTATGGGACCTCTGCAAAGCTTGACACGTTGAGTACAACAGGCACAATTCCTCTTCCACCAGTGTTTTGAGGAAGGTGGAAAACCCAAGCTTTTCCCAACCATGGCTTGTCTGCTCACGTTTCCTCTGCAGAGGAAATCTCGAGGCACCATCAGAGACACGTTAAGTGCTCTGTGCTCAGCCAGGGTTCCCAATTCCTGGCTGAAAGCACATGCAGATCCAGTGCTGGCAAACCTGAGGCTGTCAGGGATTTTGGCCATTACACTCAGTCATATTTATTCCATTAAAGGTAGGATGAGACGGGCAGACACAATTCTGCCTGTATTTCACTTCTTAAAATTAGTCAGAACATTTTTCTGTATTAAAGATCATACATTCCATAGATCACCTCAAATCATAAAACAAGAAACGTTCTTTGCTGGATGAAACATTGACTGTCACCATGAAAATGTTCAGATGGTGCAAGTAGAGAATGAGAGGTTTAACGTTGTGCCTGAGTGCCCAAGGATGGCATGGGAACATGGGTCAGTTGACAATAAATGGGATGTATTAGGCATTATCCCATATTTCCCAGATTGCTGTCACAGAGATGCATCTGCAGAGTTGCTTTCACTAGAATAACTGTAAATTACACACTTAATATTTTTAAATTAAAAATCAGGGGGTTTATTGTGTTTGGTGTTTTTTTACTGCAGTAACAGTACAAGGTGGAGAATATGGCTAAAACTCTGTTACATCTTTTTTTCTGTGACTGATTGTTATGGCACTGTAGTTAAAAGTAAAATTCTACTGTGAACAGGAATTTCACCTCTTTGGAATTAAGGTCCCAGCTCTCTTGGATAAGCAAGAAGGGTAATAGCTTTATACTGGTTCCCACAATTTGTCCTATAACAAGTATTTGTCATATAGTTGTTTATAAAAACCTTACCTAATTTATGATAGAAATGGATTTATATGTTTTGTCTGAAGTGTGAGGGAAAAAATACATTCAATAGCATAAAATATTAACTGAATAAATAGCAGGTTACTGTGAAAAACAGTGGCTAAAGTTCTACTGAGAGAGGGGCTTTGCTGTGTGCAGAAGTTTATGCCAGGTTTCCAAGAGAAAAGATTTGTGTTTCTCAATTTGCTTTGTAAAAATCTGTTACTATTCATTAATTAATCCTAATTGTAAATAGTAAAAAAAAAAAAAAAAAAAAAAAAAAAAAAAAAAAAAAAAAAAAAAAAAAAAAAAAAAAAAAAAAAAAAAAAAAAAAAAAAAAAAAAAAAAAAAAAAAAAAGGTAAAAAAAAAGGCAATATAAAATAGATTACAATGGAAACATTAAAAAAAGAAGATTACCAATCTGTAAGTGACTCAGCAGCTCAGCCTGGCAGTGCCGGTGTTGAGGGTGCCAACTCAAGTTAAAAACTGTCCTTACAGGCACAGTTTCTCTGCACTGGATCTCCAGGCAATACCCAGGGTGGTGATGTGTTTGCAGGAGGTCTGTGACACCAGTGTAGTTGTGCTCTCTTGGTTGGGACTGGAATCTCCATCAGGGAAAAGTGTTGTATTTTGTCCTTGAAGTGATCCATAAACACATCCACGAGCACAACAGACCGGGCATTTGTATTATGGTGTTTGAAGCTGCGTAAAAGATATTACAACAGTTAATTCTCTGCTTTAGTAAGGCTATTCCTCAGCATCAGTTGCTACTAAATAAGTCCCTAACATTTTTCAAGGGCATAACTTGCAACAAGACAGCAATAACAATTACATATTGTTTTCAAATAAGATGCCATTTTCCTTTCTGGCAGGCAGCAATGGGGTTTTAATGAATAACATTTGTTTCATGAAACTCACAGATGCTTCCCTGACAATTGCAAAGGAAGGAAAGAGAAGAAAACAAGCCCAGAGAAAAGGCAGAAAATACAAAGAGCAGATGAAAGATTCAGCTTCCATCCCAGTGATTTCTCTTGTGTCCCGGGCTGATGCACATTTCGGCTGGATCAGACTCTGAGTCATGATGGGAAATACTGGGAGTTACCATACATGTGGGGCCAGTCAAGTAAAAGCAAAAATTAGAGAGGATAAGCTTTCCAAGAGGACAAGCTTTCC